TTTTCTTTTGGAAACGTTTGAAAGATCTCATGTTGGGGACTGTCTGTGAGCCGACAAAAATCCTCTCGGTTTTCAATTCTGAGTGGGTTGAAAGAAGTCCATAAATATTTTGATGAGAAATTCTAAAAATTCTTGTCCAAGCCCTATTTTTCATTATTTTGAAATTGATTTCAATCTCTGCTTTCGCTCATCAATATAATATTCATCATACGCTTATTGGGAATGTTTCAATGTGCATGAGGGTGATTTTGAGCACTATAGGATTTGCTGTTTAAAATCCAAGCATTATTAATTATTGCTTTGATGATAAATTGTCTAATAATTCCTCAACCTCATTTATATCAGCAATAATTTTTGAACAATGAAAAGCGGTTGGATGAAAAATTAATTTTTTATGACGACCCATCCCTCTGGAAAAACTAATCGGCAAGCTATAGTTTTTGGCGGTCCATTTTAATCGAGGGGCAAATCTACCCAATTCTTCCATCGTCGTAGACTTCCTGTCGATGATTATCCTTTGATGAATTGATTGTAAATAATTAATAAATATAATTCCAAGAATGAAATTATGAATCATCTTGAAAGCGATTGCAATGATTCCTTCAGTCGCGTATTTCCTCGGGATTTTACCTCTCCAAATTGCAATTCTTATCAATGCCTGTGAAAGCCAAAGAAACATCGTTTTCCCGAACTGTTGCTGGCATGAGAAGCTTGCTGAATCAATTGCTACCATCAGATTCTTCAAAACACTGACTCATTATTCACGATTCAAAAGGAAGATTATCAAGACATCGTTCCTGATAAATTGATACGCAATATTTTTCAAGAATGCTGAATAAATTGACAGTGATGATGCGTAGACATGAAAGAATTTGGGAATAAACAAATTTAATTAATCATATTGCGAGTTGAAGCTTCCTGGCAGAAATTCTGCTTGAAAATGTGGTTCTTATTCCGAAACTTTCATTTGCATACATAATATTGCGCTAACATTGAATTTCTGGTGAAATATCCCGGAACCTCTGCAAAAACAAAACATGCAAATTTGTTTGACGCGTGCAGATAGATGTTCCTGATTCCGGAGACAAAATCACCAGTTTTTGGATAAACAATCTCCACAGAGCAGAAGACTGTTTGAATTGTAAATTAATGTATTCAATCTATTCAAAGATATTTTAATACAGTATATATGTGACACATTGATAAATTTACATCCTTGACAGTGACATTGAATTTACCAGCGTAAAAATTTTCTGAGGCGAAGTGTTCGGGATGAAATTATTGCGTGGCATCCAAACAGTCGAGTGTCAATT